GATTACTGCATTGTATAGGAAGGTCGTAGGTTTTCCCCGTGGCCATAGGGAGCTTTCTAACGTAGTTTGTGACCGCTTAGCGCATACGGCTCCGTCAGGCCTCGCGTTTTAATACAGCGGAGGCAGGCGTGCAGGCGGGCCCGACCTTGACCCATCTCTGGCAAGTGGGCCACGACTACAAATAGCGACTGAATGCGAGGTGAACTCACACATTCGTATATCTATTTCTGCTCGATGGTTATTTGTCGCCAAGACGTGTTTTTTGATTTGTAAAAATGACCTTGACCTTGATCTAGTTTAGTCGTGTAATAAACGCCTGACCTCGTTTACCGCATTATCGGTTGCTATCGCGTGCTCATTATAATAACATTAGATGATTAAAACCATTCGAAGTGTTCTCGATTCATATTTGGATTCTACCCCTCCATTAGAAATAAAATGTTACGATCGTTCCATAACAATTCACCTACTTCGTATATTAATTACATGTTTCTCACGCTACGTGAAGCAACACTGACGTGATACTATCTCAAAAATATAGCATACATGGCTAATTAAGTTCTACAACAAAAAAAACATGGGGAGCTTGCTTGCATATTATGAAGCGGCGATATACCAAACGTAGCCTGACTTAGTCATGAAATAAATTATACTTGTGTTAGTCATTGTGTCCGGCTCGAATTGATTGTCATTAGCGACAGCCGGAGAAAAGTACTCCATTCCAAGAAGCACGAAGCCATACGACTCTGCTACGATTTTACAAAATACGTGGTATGTACGTTAAAGTAAAAAGATAGTTGATGTTGAATCATAATCGATATGAAATAAGCGACCCCGTACGTCACGGGGCACATTCCAGCAAGGCATGGCAAGGCACGGCGGCCATTGTGACCGCGACGCACGCCACGGACTAGTTTCCTAATAGAATAATGTAACCAATCGACAGCTACACCAGATCTCTACGAGCTAATTGTGACCTTCGTCGTACGAGGGTGCCGCTCATAACTAACTACTACTGCACTCAGTAAAATCTTTCTTCATCCAATAAAGATATGACATACACTAAAACTACCTAAGAAATGCTGTCTTTTATCTTGTACATTTATTTCCAATTCGAATGTATTATGTAGATATTTTTCTAAACACTGTTGTTGTTGCATAATATGCTCGTCGGTCGATAAGTTTTTTAAAACCTGTTCATTCAATTGTGTCAAGGGACGACCCTGGCGACCTGTTTTGGTGTAACAGTTACTCACTTCGCAGTTTACCGTAAAAATATCACACTAATTGTGTTTGTCCTTTTCACAATTCGGTCACTATAATGTTTTTATTAAGACTTTACTAATAATATCTTTTTATTGCTGAAAATAAATATCGTAATTATTTTGACTCCATATTAAAAAATGAATCATTTTCATTATCCAATTAAATTATTAAATATGTTAATTTTGATATTAAGCAGGAATGCGTTAAGAGTGAGAAAATGATAATATTTGACTTGATGTTATTCTGAGACACAATCTCGACTCAATATTCAAGTGGACGTCCGACTAATATGATTCTGGTATATTTATCCGTCGCCGTTTGCACGAATTCTTTCGAAGATGCAATACGAGGCTGGTGGAATTGCACACAGCAATGCTTTAAATCCGTTACACTATTCGTCCCTCTTTCGTCCTGTTGCGAGCCATATTCGGTGTCCTTGTCGCACCGAGGCACGCTTGCTACAATAAAAACTGGTTGTTATTTTTAACTTGTGGGTAGGCCGAGCCGGCACCGCACTGAGAAAGCCCCCTTCCGTTCCAGGTTTAAGCGTTATTTATTTACAGCTTTATGCCGTCTCGATAAGTTAAGACACCCCTAGACGTCCGCAAGATAAGCTGAACACCTAACATAACCAGTCGCCCACTTATCGGCTTTATCTCGGCTGCACAACTTTCTGGCTATTATTACATGACCTAAATCAGTCAGTTTCGTCATAATTTAGTCACATATTTTATTTCACATTAGTCAATATATAAAGTGAATTCTACGTGTCAATAGCCGTTTATGTTTCTTTTATACGTATAAAATATAAATTCATTTATTAAAGCCAGCAATATTTCACTTCATCAAATAAAAGCATTCATTTATTATATTGCTTCTACAAACGACACTCCAAACTCCAATGTACATTTTACATTGACACCAAAAAAGGATTAACCAAGAGTAAATAATAATAAAAAAAAGTTGACGCAAGATAACCTTGTCCGACATATTGTCCTAGCCGTCTATCAGCTACCAATTTTACATACATACTAAGATTAGTAACGTTTCCCCTACAAGATATTCCTATAATACTTTATAAACTTTTCCTGCAGTATATCAATTTTAAAAATAAAATAATTTATATGGAAATACCAAGCTTATGGAAATAAACTGCTGTCGATAGAAGAAAAAAAATGCTTCAATATATAAGCTATCGATGATTTATTGGCAAAGAACAATAAAATATGAAACAGCAAAAATATAATTCAATGTACAGAGCTAACACAAAAGAATAACATTTACAGCGCACGTAAAATCATCGAAAAGCTAATTGCCAGACCGTGGACGATACGACAAAATAACCTCGACTGCGGAAGAACTCAATTATGATTATAAAAGGAAAAGGTTTTTTGTATTATAACCTATAAATACGTAAAGTAAAACATGACACATTTTCTATTTTTAATTAAAATAAATTATCAAAAAATTCCATTCCAAATTTAAAAACCCATTATTTAAGAACTAAATACGTTAATGTAATATTAAAAAAAAATCAATTCACTGTTAGCATATTGTATAAAACTATTGCAACGTTATTTTTTCAAAGTTTATAAAAAAAAACAAAACCAATTTGATCGCATGAGCCACTCAGGCACTAATCAATAAAACAGTCACACGAAGACCGGTCATTAATGTAGCTTCATTTTGATTGGTCGTTTGTTAGCTGTAATTATATCGAAAAGTTTTATGTTATGTTGGCAACTGTACATTATAATCTCACAACACTTTAATCCAATAGAATTAAAAAAAATCTTTGCTTTTACGTAACAAGGTATAGCACAAATATAAAACCAGAACAAAAATATATTTATGATTTTAGAAAATACATAAATTGATCCAGCAGCAGCAAATTCCAAACTTTTGTCTTTATAGTTTAATCGAAATATTATTTTAATAACCAAAGTTTAATAGTTTGTTATTATAAGTATCTGTTTTCACTTGCAATTAAATTTATATAAATTTATCGAATCAAATAACTTTATTTTAACTTTAAACAATACTATGAAGCCCTGGTATTTATAGTAAAGAACTTGGTTTTATATATTAAAACGTTAAAAATTTCTAACAGTTTTAATTTAAATATAATAACTTAGTTTAGGAATTGTTACTATGTTATTATGCTAACTCGATCATGCGTTAATTTTTAACTAAAATCATTTGGATTTAATATGTTATAAAGTGTATGAATTATTTTGGGGCTCGTTTGCTATAGCGTGGTTGTGACTAGCGTAACATACTCTTCTATCCTCAGAATCGGAACGTTCATAAATCGCTAAGAACGTGCGGCCTGATATTTGGAATTCAGCCAGCAATAATAAAGAACAGTTCACGCATTATGGTGCCGGTGTCCTAAATTTCGCTTGCATTATACAACCACTATTGAAATGTTTCGTACTGAAAGGTAACCTGTAAACACGTGTGCATCTGAGTGTAGAAAACGTCTTAATTCATGTATTTTATATTACTTAATATTTAATTATACTTTGATAGTAATAGATGCCTTTTTATCATACGTTTTTTGATAGTAAAAAAATATAAATTATTCAATATAATTCTTTTATACGAGAACTAAACAATAAAATCTTTTCTACGTATTATTCTTATCAAAGTTATCGTTTTAAGAAATTTTTGGCGTTAATTCGTTGTCCATTTTGACGTTATAAAGACGAACTTGTGTTCATACTCATTACCTCTACCTAGATTTTGAATTATCGATATAAGTAAATGAACATTATTGTTATCTCTGTTTTAAAAATGAAAATGACAGAGATGACTATATTGTCGTACCATGAACAGGTGTAATTTTTTACTGATTACGTACAGTCATTTAAAGTATCATTTGCGGAGGCGCGAGTGTTAAATATATGAGCGGTTGTGTTTAAAAATTCGTAACACACGACCTTGGCGTAGCAGAATATTGCTACGAAGTAGACAAGCCTCCAGTTCTCGTATACCTGACGTAATTTTGTTATAATCGCGCACAAGTAACTAACCATTAAGACTAGTATTTAGTAAAATTCTAAACCAATCGTTAAGTAACACTTCGCGTAATAACGCTATTTTTGAGACGATTTTGTTTGTATTTTGGCTAATGTTAATCCATAAACACAAACTTTTTAACACATCTTGCAAACAAGCACGAAATAAAAAAATGCATGTCTTTATACGCTGACATTAGTATCCATCCATCGTTATTTCCCGTAATTTTGTGGAAGTGCCTATCTTCATATACGAACCAGAGCACAAAAATAAATGCAGTCCGCGGGACTATTTTACGCGTCAGTTATTTCTGCAACCGGCAATGTAGGTTATGATGTCAATCAATATGTTCCCAACATTTACCTGTTGAAAATTTGGGTGAACTATTTTTATACGCTCGGTTATGAGTCCATTTTAACGTTAACGTTTAACGAATCTTTGTTACGTTTTCATAATTTTCCTATTAAAATAATGTTGAGTATTTTGGTAAAGGAAGATTTAAAGAATAAAGACTTAATTTCTTTATAACTTGAAAAATCAAAGGATGCTCAAATTTCTGTTTTGTTAATAGCACTTCGCTAATTTTATTATGAAGAGTATCTTGAAGGGTTGCTGTAGAGTTATGTTTAAATTTAAGTTAGTTGTATCATTAATTTATTTTTTCAAACCTGACTTGTATTCTGTCTTCAACACGTGTTGTCTGTTTGTTGCAGCTGTTCGCGCTGATCGTATGCGCGGTGGGCGCAACAAGTTCGGTCCGATGTACAAGCGCGACCGCGCCCGCAAGCTGCAGATGATGCGGCAGCGCCAGATCGCAGTGCAGACACTGCGCGGTTCCCTCGGCGACGGCGGCCTCGTGCTCGGCTTCGGCTCACCTTACACTGCCGTGCCTGTCAAGCAGGAGATACAGATTCCTCAAGTGTCGTCACTGACATCCTCACCGGAGTCATCGCCGGGGCCCGCGCTAATGGCTGCGCCGCCTCAGCCGCCCCAGCCGCCGCCGCTGCCGTCACACGACAAGTGGGAGGCGCACTCGCCGCACTCGGCCTCGCCTGACGCGTTCGCTTTTGACGCGCCCGCCACTGCCGCCGCCACTCCTTCCAGCACGGAGCCCACCAGTACCGACACGCTGCGTGTCTCGCCCATGATCCGGGAGTTCGTGCAGACCATCGACGACCGAGAATGGCAGAACTCGCTCTTCGGACTCTTGCAGAGCCAAACCTACAACCAGTGCGAGGTCGATCTCTTCGAATTAATGTGCAAAGTGCTCGACCAGAACCTCTTCTCTCAGGTCGACTGGGCGAGAAACACCGTGTTCTTTAAGTATTTAAAGGTGAATTTCCAGATAAGTATGACTTTCCCATCCTCAAATCCCGAACCCTATCCAGGTGTACACCAACGCTTGCGTGTTCGCATTGCGAAGCTGTGCGATGGTTTAATTTGTTACACTTCTAAGGCTTTGCGAATGTCGGTAGATTATAGCAGAGTATGGCACGATGTGCTCGTGTGAGGCAGAGCGTGTGACGCATCGGGGACGCGGACCGCGGGCCGCGCGCAATCGATACACCGCGCCTCGCAACTGGGTCAAGTTCCCACGACAAGCGCGCCTCTGTTCGTCGCCGTCGTTCTTTTCCACCTCTACACCACTTTACCATTATTTGATAATGTATTACATATAATCATCGATGCTGCTGATTCAGTAATAGCGCCATCCCTTAAATTCGAGCGTAGCAGTTTTCCTATTTTTGAAATCAAAAATGACAGATCTTAAAAAGCAGTAGTTCCCTCAAATTACGGTGTCAGAAATGTTCGGTGGTGCCGAGAGTGTGTTGAGTCAATAGGGCAAGAGTGAGCGAGGAGCAGTGGCACTCGTACGCTTACGCAAGAGGCGCGCGATCACGTGGCCATGCGCTGTTGCCGCTCCGAACCTCGCTTCGTCTCGCTTCAGCAGCCAGCCTCCGCCAACGACTAACAATTTTCATTTACGCTAAATGAGGCGCCTTGTTTACGACCTATTCTGGGAATTAGAACAACTATCGTACACAATATTCACGTCAACGTAAGTGTCCGGAAGCTATTTCCCAAATATAACTGTCGAAAATTTAGTTACAATCATAAATCGATGGGATACGGCAAGAAAGGAGAGGGGAACCCGTCCCGCCGTGGTGTTGTCGACCCCTACTTTCTCCAGACGGATGTGATGTAACGGTAGGTCGCGGGACGGCAACGCTGCACTTTCGTCGCGCACTTGACACAGTGGCCGTGGCCGAGTTGCCGCGAGAAAGCACTTTTTACCGCGCAACCGGCGGTAACCGCTACGTAACTAGGCGCGCGCGGCCTTTCTTCGCTTTCTCTTGCGTAACGACGATTACGATTAGCCGCATAACGCCGCGATGAACTTGAGCGGTCGATGACGCTGCCGCACCGCACCGCACGCCTCACGCATTGTGTTTATTATACGGCATGCCGCATACGACCTACTACACTACAAACATACGTGTATTCCTTCTCCTAGCCTTGCTCTACATTAAAAATAATTATGGATAAATAGCTTATGAAATGTAACGTTAAACAGGAAGCATGTTTTTTACTTTAAACAGTTTTAATCCTTTTTTTATGAATTGAGTTTTAACAGCGAATAATAAATATAACGTACGTACTCGTAAATTAAAATTGTCATTTAAAAATAGTGTCACGCCTGCCGCTTACTACTTATCGCTGTCTGTGGTCTAGACACTCAAAGCGCCAGTTTCGACACAGCTAATAATAACAATAAGCCAGTTGGTCAATTTAACGCTCTACATAGTATAAAACATATACCACATTTCAACTGTACCAATTCCGAACGGTCTACATTCAAAGTTACGTAATGGCCAACTTTCAGACTTAAAGAATACGCATTTTAATAAAGGTCCGCCGGATCTATCAGATCCGCTTTAGTAGATCAGACTGAATGACAGTTCTTAGTACTTACTCTCCAGTGCGCCGTTGTACCGCGGGCTATCGATTACGGATACGGTTTATTTGACATTTCCTTCAGCATTGTTTATTACGAACAAAAGGTATCTCAAATTGAAATTGACCTTTTCGAAATGTTACGTCGATTGATAGAGCGAACGACTTTCGAACGTTTTATTTGTACGTCGTTTTAAGAGTTAATGTGCATTTAATGGAATATAAATACGTTGTTTTATATATTTGAAAGTGTGGCATAAAGGATGTTGTAATTCGTGTCCTCTTTCTCCGTTGCAAGCCGTACATGTGATCGTATATAATGCGGCGACGGCGGCGGCGGTGGAATGACAGCGCGACTTTGACCCACATCCTGAGTCGCTATCGGGCCAAGATGCCCGCGCAAGGGAACAATCATTGCCGTCCCTCACGCACGCATGTTCAATGTTACAAGGATAAACTCATAAACGTTTCTACATTCCAATTAAATTATCCGTAATAAATGTATTCACGTTCTCTTTTACCTTTTAGAATGAAATTTCGAAGACATGTAACTTTTCTAAAGTGTAATAAAAAATTTATGATAGTATAAAATACATGTAAAATGCATAACTCTTTTTTTTATTAAATTGAGAGATGGTGTAACAAGCTGAGCTAAATGCATTACATAAAGTGTATCAGGATTGGCGCGAGACTCTCGACTCAGAGTGGACGGAATCCTCGCTGTCGTCGTAACTCAATGTAATCGCAACATTAAGATCATTCGGATAGATTGGTCGGTCGTAAGATTTTGAGGATCCGATCTCGATCAGGCGAGCGGTTGAGTAAGCGGCGCGGTGTGGCAATAGCCAGCGAGCTCTAAAATTCAGTTGTAACATTTCGTAAACGGCGAATTTAACGCGCGCACCGCACCGTGTATTCTAATGCAACTCGACAGTATCTGGGTCACGGATACACTGGTATACTGTGAGCCCGCCAACCGCCGCCAGATACCACCCGAACGTAGATAACACCTTTAACACACACCAATATTGATCGATAATCGATAGACATTTAGATCGTAAATATAGAAGACGTTCCGTTGTCACCATCTACCGATTGCGTCACGCCACTCTGACATCACACGACGAAACTCAGTACGTACTGACAGCGTCTCTATGTTGAAACAGAAAATTTCAAAGGCACACCGAGTAACCGGGTAACGTAATATTAATTCTGTATTTTTATGTTATGTACTAATTCATGCCTAACACTATGCAATATGTCGTATATGAATGCATATAGATATGTAGCGTGCGAATGTGTATTGTGAAGCGTTGCGCCACTCGGTTACTCGGCAGCATTAGCGTCAGCCCTCCAACAACAGACGTGGTCGGTCAGCTGTGCTGTTTAAGCAATGCGCTTGTTATTTGTTACAGGTCGATGACCAGATGAAGCTACTGCAAGATTCATGGTCCGACATGTTGGTCCTAGACCACCTTCATCAGCGGATGCATAACGGCTTGCCCGACGAGACCACGCTCCACAACGGACAGAAGTTCGACCTTCTGTGCCTGGGTCTGTTAGGTGTGCCTGCGTTGGCCGACCACTTCAATGACCTGCAGAACAAATTAGCCGAACTCAAGTTCGACGTGCCGGATTATATTTGCGTCAAATTCCTCCTCTTGTTGAATCCTGGTTAGTATCGATCGTTGTTTAAGTGGCAATGTTGCGAATTGTTTGTTTATATTCTGCAATATGTTGATGCCATTTGTGATGTGTGTTTAACGATGTTGTATTTATTTTGAAGAGTAACTTTGGGGTTTCAGAGGTGAGGGGCATCGTGAATGTGAAGTGCGTACGCGATGGATATCAGACGGTGCAAGCTGCGCTGCTTGATTACACGCTCACCTGTTACCCCTCGATACAGGTAAATATTAGTATGAATTACAGATATTGAGATAGTTTTAAACATTTATAAAGGAAAAGAAACAAAGAGAAGTGAAAAGGAATGCGCCATTTTAGACAATAAACTAAAAGAAATTAAAAAGAAAGAACACATCGATATTCGCGTATATCATGATCTCTCCATTGAGCTAGCTTGTTCTTATTGATCAAACCAATGTGGTATATTATTGTGGTAAACTAGTCTGCCAGATGTTATAAATGATTAAAATAACGTACTAGAAGAACATATAGAAATACATATGAAGAATTTACTAAAGATATATTAAAAAAGTAAAATAGTTTTTACGAATAAACAAAAGACAAATACTTTTGTTTCTGCTAAAATTTTATGAATGCAAAATGAACAATGCCCCATTATGTAGAGTTAAAAGATCTTGCACTAGCCGCGAAACGAGGTCTAGCCGTATTTCCATCACAATAGGCGTCTAGTTTGACAGACAGACTGATTAGTATCTATATCGAAATGACTATATAGGCGCAGACGAAATTTTTCTATTTTATATTGCAACCAGTCCATATTGGCATTTGCATTGTAGATTTTTCAATTATACGTCGCCGCTTTCAACATTTTTTTACCGTTCTCTTTCCAGCTCTTTGTCTAAGTTATTATTGGGTCAACCGGGACTATTTTATTTCCTCTATTTTTCTCTTAAGTCAGTATGAATGCGTCATCACAGTAAATAGATGCTTCATTTCATACAAATTTATTGATCAATTCAATTGGTACGCATTTAAATGCTTTTGAACCTTAGATACGAGATAAATTTTTGTGGTAACCCATATTTTGAGTTCGTTTCAAACTGAGACCAAAATGGTTATAGGGACTTAGCAACAGTTCAATCGAGGAAATTACCTACATTCTTTTCTCTTTTTCCTACATTTGTGTTTAGTTTGATGTGATTGTATCGCCACTTTGCGCTAGCGCGACTAATTGCGCAATTGTGACTCCATACCAATGATGGATGCACATGGCCGATCGAATGTCTTAGTGGAAATGGGGGCTTAAATGCATCACATTCATAACTCTTGGTCAGATAATATTTGGCGGTATCCAGCTAGTTCGTCTGACTATTAAATTATTAATTTTGGGTAGCATGGTAATATCTAGGGTTATGCAAGTAACTCCTTGGCTAGAGACGGTGTGTTTTCAATTCGCAGGACAAATTTAGTAAATTGGTCACCCTGGTCCCGGAGATTCACGCTCTAGCGGCCCGAGGGGAAGAACATCTGTACCAGAGACATTGCGCCGGACAGGCGCCCACGCAAACTCTGCTTATGGAAATGCTTCACGCCAAGCGCAAGTAAGTTCACAAACAGAGATATTATTTTACCATCATATGTGTTTGTTGACTAAAATTTGAAAACCACCCTTAACTAAAGAGATCAACCTGCCTCGCTTAATCATTTCAAATCATTTACTTCTTATGTAATATAAATGTTATATATAAGTATTTTATGTAGTTTATATGCATAAACAGATTATTATATAATATTTACATGTTTATTTGCGCATTCGTTGCCATAGCAACGGCGCAATCACAGCACCGTTCATGAAGGAGAGTGTGCAAGATATGCAGTAATGTGTCTTATTCTAGGCCGAATGGAGGCGAAATGGTTACCCGGAACGCTGAGCACGCCTCGACTCTAGACAGATTGTACGTTACCCCATCTTATATGACAATATATCTTAGTTTATTCGATCATTCATGTTTTACGCATTAACACAACGCGGGACAGAGTTGCCAGTTTTTTTACGCCATTTGTAAATGTTGTTGCAAATAGCACGCGACCGCAAAGTTTCCTCTTGTTGGACATAGTTTGCGACACGCAATCTTTAATTTGCACAATCTGCCGCAAATTTTTGAATCACTATTTTGTTTTTAATTTTATGGTGTTGTATCAAAGCTGCTACTAACAGCCAATTTAAGCGACATCTCAAGTTTTGAATTAATTACCGTTTAAGGTAATACTGCACATGTAGCTAATTTCTATTCACTATTTTATTATAACTAAATCATTTTTACAACTCATGGGCTTGTAATAATGCATTTTATAACGTATTTACTTTTAAAATACTAATAACGAGATAATCTTAATGTGTATAGTAGAAGCATTTGCTAACGTAGTTTACAAATGAACATTTTTTACAATGTTTTAAAGTACAGCAATTTACATAGAAACTTGTAAATATATCGGTAATAAATCCACAATCATATTTTAAAGTTGTGTTTGAATACAGTATTAATTTTTACAACTGGCAATTCTATATCTCGTCAAAATGCTTTTTTCCCTTAATGTTGGTGATGGTATTTTTACTGACAGGAATTTTAGTTTCTCATAAATCTATTACGCATTTTACGCATCTTATTCTCGTATTTTTTTCTTATTTTTGTTTTTTTTATATACATAAAACAGTAATTATTTGATATAAAAATATTTTTGCATTATTAGATTTTTGTCGCGCTGTGCAAATTTGTAAAAAAAATACTCTAAAAATTATTGACGCTTGAAAATATTACAATTTACATTTCATTGTTTTTATTTTGCTATTACATGCATGTATTTTTTGTATTTTAATAACAAAAATATTAAATAAATAAATTAATCCAAAATTTTAATGTAAAATAATTTATACCTTGTAAATTTTATTTAAATTCAAAAATATTAATAAAAAGTATTTTAAATGCCAATGATTAAATGGAATAAGAGAGTTGTAATAATATTACATTTTAGGTATTTCAGGTTGGAATTGTTGATAATTTTTTTTTGATTAAAACTTCTAAATAATGCGATCGGACACATTCACATTTTTAACAATGAAGCTGTAAATAGCTATCAAATTATATACATTCGTTTTAAAATATTTAAAAATAGAAAGCTAATTAACACAATAATATTTGGAGTTGCCACAAATCGCAAATATATACATAAAAACCACCGCTTCACTTTGCATATATTAAATAAGTGACCCAAATCCGTTTATTTAGGTCGCTTATTTGAGCGCTGCATTCGTTTCGACGCTGGTAAATGATTGGATTATATACTCGCCAACTTAAAACGACTGGATGTAATCAGAAGTATAGTAAACACCCTTTTTCACTAAACAATTTAGACGAGCGATAACAAGAGCGTGCAATTGCTATTTCTCTGTGGTACAATACTTATTCAGAAACAGCAGTCGCTCACGACCAGAGTCTAGCTAGTGAAAAAGGGGTTTAAACGTGTACCAACCACTTCATGAATGAATTAAACATCCTCCCTTGTGTCCGATATTTGGCATGTTTTCCGTCTCGATGCGACCGAATGCTCTGTGCCTTTATCGAGTTGGTTCCGAGCCAAGATGTTAATCTCGTAATGTGTTCTGTCAAGAACTGTGCCACCCGTAAATTTTATTGACCCAATTCCTTCTAGTGCCCAACAATTCACATAAAATGATTCGATTTAATTGTAACACATTGTTTATTTTTGAAACATTTTAATAATGATTTAATTTGGACGCATACAAATTTTAAAAAAAAAATTAAACTCAAAATCGACCAATCTTATCTAAAACGTAGTTGTCCATAGGCGATGCTTCAATTCTAAGGCACTTATTTATAGTTAGATTGTATATATAATAAATATTAATATTATGGAGTGCAAACTGTAGTGAATATAACGTTCCTATACAAGTAAAACGTGTATTTCAAGAGAATGCTCTCTGTGTGTCAGGTGCGGATTCCTGCCCAGTGACACGATTGAGCCGCATTCGCCAATATAGAGTAAGCATATAACATATATACAGATTTTGTTGTGCCTCGAATAAGCTTAAACCACACGCGCACGCACTGTTACCAAGCACCTTAAATGTATGCACTCGTTCACATTCGAACTGAAGTTATTGCTAGTTTACACGCGGATAGAGGAGTAAGGAAATGCAGTAGAACAGCGCAGGCTTTTGTTTGTAAACGCACATTTATGCTTTATTGTGCGTACAAACTGTAGCAGTACTGCAATGTCTGACTGTTCTACCCTTGTATGATGACGTCATAGATAGGCAGTAATGCGGCTCTTTCGGTTATGTCTATAATGACGTAATACCAGTAATTCGTATATGTAAAATAAATAAATAAATGTAACGTTTTAGCAATAAAATATATAAACAGTTTGTCCTAATTTATTACGATAAGAATCCCTTCAAGGTATGTCATGTGATACTCTTTGTATGTCAAAGAATCCTTAATTTTCTGATGAATATAGTTCCCGCGGTTTTGTCGTTTTTACAAATGACCTATATTTTTTTCTTAGCAGTAAAGACACTGTATAATTTTTCAATAACATTTATGTGCATAAATGGTAATATTTTTTAAAAATTAAATCAAGCATAGTTTTAGCGCGATTTTATTGTGAAAAAAATATGAATATTTTGCTTTATTTGCGAATGTAAATTTATTAATATAGTTGGTATAGTTTATTTTATTACTTAGATCGATTTATTAATAATATATTCGTTATCATTTTAATAATATTTCTAGTAGATGTTATTAGAATAAGTGTCATTAAAGTTCACTAGGACAAGGCTTAGATTGTGTACTAATTAATTAAAATGGCGATATCTTCAATCAAATATGAATCACTAGCTGTCGCCCGCGACTCCGACCGCGCGGAAAAAAAACACGATTAGTAGCCTATGCGTTCTTCCAGACTATGTTCTATACGTATGCCAAATTTCATCGAGATACATTCAGCCGTTCTGGAGATACCTTTAAACAAACATCCATCCATCCATCTAATAATTTACAGTGGTAGAGCCCGCTTTAACATCTTCGCACGAATTGGCCCGGCTCGCCCGGTGAAATACCACGACCACACAGAAGACAGGCGTCAAGTGGAAGCTATTCCGCGTGCAGTCTGATGAGTGTGCGTCCCAGAGGCCTAATTTAGTCCTCTTTCCCTTCCCACCCGTTTTCTTATAAGGAAAGGATGGGAAGTGGAAGTGGACTTTCCGGATGAGAGGATGCATGGAAAGGGAAAATATTTTCTTTCTGTGCATCCTCTCCTCCGTCGATTAAAGGTAGGCAACGCATATGCAATTGCATATGTCTATGGGCAACGGTCGCTTCGCTATTTCAGCGATTTCGGGGGCCGCTCGTTCGTTTGCCACCTTATCATATAAAAAAAAAACATTTATGATATTGCTAAGATTTTTCACGGCAGTTTCAATGTTATTTGTTTCTTTTAGTTCACCTTGGCTTTCTTAAATAGATGTTATAAAACAAACTCGATTTTTATCAATAGAATTAGTTAACAATCATGCCAGCTTTCACGTTTATTATTAAAATAACTCATCGATTTTTTTTAATTATCAATGGACAATAGATTTTACGTGTTATTGTTCGGTAAATCTCTTAGCACAATCGAATTTAGAGTTAATGTAGAACTTTTTAATTTTGATTTTTATAAAACGAGTTTCTCTTATACAGCCTAAATACATGAGGCTATATCGTTGAGAATTTAGAATTAGTCTCATAGATAAAGGCAATTAACTAAGACAATTTGGCGTAGGTACTTTATCAAACCCAACCATACCCTCCACGTACAACGAATGGGTAACAATGTTTTTTTTTATACCGCGAGTTTCTACTATAAAAAAATGTTGATAGGTTGCACATTTTAATAATAAAAATAATTAATGTCCACAATATCGTATGATTTTACAGTTTGCTTCAGATATTTTTGCTTTATGTGGTAATTAATTCGTAGAAAAAAAGATAAAAGAATATCTGTTATGTGTAAATAATTGTTCGATAATTGTGAACGTAGGGAAAAATCTTAACCTTTTCAAATCCACTTTAACCGCAGCGCCTTAACAGACTTGTCCAAGGTCATAACTTTTACTTTTTTACGTCGCTCACCGACCCGCTTTAATCATCGAATGGCTTACAGTCTTGTTAACCGACCTCTTTAAATAAATTTCCATTTAATAGTATATCATTTATTTTAACTACGTATTTATTAATCCTAAACTAATTAATTCTTGGAATATAGATATTAAAATATGAATTTAAGATTATACTCTCAACCTCAACTCTCTTGAACTTATCTCGAGATATATTTATAGAACTAGTTTTTTTAGTAATTAAATAAAAAAATAAATTTTTAAAACTCTGCGGTAAACATAATGTGATTATAATCTGATCCAATTATACCTATCTCATAAAAATCAATTCAGTCATTTAGGCTATATACTAAATACATAAGGTACATACAACTAAACCTAAAATGTAATACATACTATGTACAAACTTGGTAACATACCCGCAATAAATTACGTCCCTGTCAGTCGAGTAAAATATATAAAAAAAAAGTTACCGGTGCATTCATGCTTCTCTATAACTGGTCTTAATGTAGGTCCGTATATAGTTTTGTCACCAAACTGGTCGATGTATTTTCTTCTAGTATATTTTCTATAAATGCTCTGGTAACTTAATAATCTTATTTATTTTCACATACTTTTAGTAACTTCAACGTGGCAACAGTAACTTAGTTCTTGGTATATCTTTGAAGGTTCCTTTCGTTTTTTCGATGAATATGGTTACATCTCTTATGATTATAATATATGTAACTCTTTTCTTCGAATTTGTAGAAATATTTTTCGAAATAAATAGTGAAGTTTATTATTGTTACGGAAATTCTCTAAACGTCAGTTTCCACTGCGGAAACTTTCCGAAACATGTCCACTTTTGTACATGAACTTTCAGTTAGATAAAGCGTGTTTTATAATTATAATAAATGGTAATACGAAATAAAAAAAAATACATTGAAAAACGAAGAAAATGTTTTCAAATAAGTAAAATTAACATAGCATTTTTTTCAAACCGCTACTTCGTGGGAAACATGTTTAAAACATTTATGTAAACGTTTTTTAATAAAACAACAGTTCGAAAAAATACGTTATGAGTTTGTTTCTTTGTGATTCTATTACATATATTAATATTAACACGTTGAGCGCCACGTCAACCATCGGTGGCTGACACTAGACTTTCTGTTTAGGTCGTGGCCTGAACTGGATTGTCTTAGAAATACGGGTGGGGCTCAACGTGTTAAGAGGATGTTAATCAAATTAAAAACTCCAATTTTAAAAACACATTTATTCTCAATAAATAAATTTTATTTTGAAAAGTTTTTTTGACTTTGTTAATGTATCCAAAATTTTCAAAGCAAGCAAACATTGAGATGTACGAAAGAGCTTGCTACGAATATGGATAAATACAGTTATTAGTGAATGCCTAGCTTATCTCCAGTAGAAATACTAATTTACAATTGTAGCGAGTTATATACGGAACTGCTTTTTTTAAAAATAATTTTATTTATTATATACTTTAAAATGTCAGCTAAAATTGTAGTACAGATAATTCAGCGTTATACGGCGCGCGGAGTTGTGATCTGTAAAAGTGGATTTCCACTGCCGAAATAGCTATAAAATATAAAAACTATAAAAATATAAAAACATATAGAGAAATAAAAGGGTGAATAGTCACCCACATCTATGTTTTTGTTTACATGTAATTCTGCAATGGATGCCAACAGTAACGCGTGCTTGCAATGCAAATGCAGTTGTTTTAATTATGAATCCTTAAAATTGTTCATATTTCCATTGTACAATGTTATAAGCGTTAATATGCGTAATTCTGCGGACACGCCATGGAAACAATACGCGGTTGTGCAGATAAGTCCATCTCCGTCTGCAATTCGCAGAATCACGTACCGTGGAAACCCACTTCAACTTACAGAGTCGCTGCCGCGCGTCAATAAGGAGTCCTATATATTATTAATTAACATGCACGTGCTAGATGCAAACGCAATGTATATATATTATATATATATTTTTATTGTATAATTGTAAGATGTAAACTTTCTGTCCACAGATGTTGAAGTGGCAGCGGGGTGTGGAGAGAGTGAAGTTGCGCCAAGCGCTCCCGACAACTTCACCAATGATGTTCTACAAAATATTACTTATCACTTAGTTTTAGTTTTTAACTTGGTGTGTGATTAATTATAATAAGTTATTGCACCGAGCGCCGGCCGCCGCGCCGCGCGTGCCTAGTCCCAATACAGATAAAACAAAATATTTATCTACCTAATCTCTGTTACATAAAACTATACAGGATGTGTCGTATACCAGTCTCGTGTTGTAGCTACGATTTTATTTATTGAGCAGCATGTTTTTGTGTTACTTTCAAAATTGTTGTTTAGTGTAAATCATTAAATAGACTAGTGTTTACGTCTATCTTAACATCGGTGCGGAAGGGAAAATATAACAGTACATTAAGGAAAGCGTCTGTGATTATAAATGATGAAAATTGGATACCGTTGTAATGATAGTTGATGTCTTATTGTATAAATGTTAGTTAGTTAGGGATATGCAAGTCGCGGCGGCCGCGCGCCGACCACGGCCGCCGCACATTTCGTGTTACTTATTAAATTTACTTTCTCGTTTAAGCCTTCGACAAGCACGTTGCAAAGGACCTATATCATTTCAGTGTTAAACCCCCCCACCCCTTTCACCCCTCACCCACCACTTTCGTATCTTCGGTGGAACACAAAATGAATGTAGTAGTTGGGCCAGGCATATGTAAATGTTATCCAGAGTTGATATTACAAAATTGTATCGTCTACATATTTAAATATATCACTATTATTAAGGTATATTTAATTATTTTCAATTCAAATTAATCAATTTAAATAAGTTTGCATACAGATGAGAGAGAACTTTTTAAAATCAATATATAATAACATACCAAATAAATTGAAGTTATAAAAAGATACATATATATATCGATTATATTTTTATCGGCCGGTATCAGTACAAAAAGAAAATAATAAACCTTGTAAATATTAGCACGTTACAGTGATTTATTCTACTTGTATTGTAATTATGTAACATATTTTTCAACATACGTGCAAGAGAGCCTTAAAAATCATAGATTTTTAAACGATATGGGTACTAGCGCCTACCGACCGACGGTCGAGCGAGGCGATGTATTTTTGTAAAAGATATTGTTCTTTATTAACATATATGATATGTTAACTCAAAGTACATTACATCGTATTTTTCTAATATAAATATATTGGAGTACGTAAACAAGTGTAATGATCAACTTTTACTGCGGAAATAAAGGATATATAAATGTATATAAATGTAATTGTTATACGACACACGATCATTGTACAAGCCCTGATATGGTTTGCGAATCGCGGTTTAGTTTATTGTTTGTTTGTTTGTTTGTTTGTTTGGCGGATATTTAGTACATCGTGAACATCATATTATTGGGTAAAGAATGGATTTAAGTTAATCAAAAATGTGATTAATGGTTTGTGTTTGAATATGAATGTTTATATATATATATATTATTATTATAAAATAATGATTATAATATTGTCATTGCACCAAGTGCGAATGTATTGTAGAAGCAGCATCAACGATTTAATATTGTAGGTTATATTGTTATTATAAAGAGTTTGATTCATATAATTTGGCTTTACGCCTTTTTTTTCTATCTAGGCTTATTAAGATACATAAGTTATGGCCACCATGTTTCTGTCTTTAATACCGTCCAGTGAACCACGACTTTAATCGTCTCTGATAAAACATAAATGAAGTTTTAGGCTCTAAAAAATAAATTCTACATTTCTTAGTATGTTCATATCTATAGAGTGGGTTTGTTTGTTAAATGACGAATAGGTACACAACGCTCATAAAATTATTTATATTTTTTTTTTGTTTCACAAAAGTACAGGTGTATGTATGAATTTATACAAATATAGAGGAGCGCTATATTAAAGTTTAAAATTATCAAAAAACATTTTTTTTTAAATTAGATCAGAATTATAAAAATAAAAAATATTTTTTAATAATAAAAGTCACATGATGTATATTTACTTTAGCAATCCTCTATATTTATTCATATTTATGTACATAATTATATATTTGTTCGTATACACTTTACAAAGTTCCTGGATACAAAGTTGTGGTATGTTTTATACGATATACAAAATACATGATAGGATTTCGGTTTGCGCGAACAACGTAATTTATATTAGAACAAACGTTTGGTGATTTTGAGCAATTATTTTATCACAACATCGACCATAAGATTAACATAATTATTTGAATCCCTGCATGCTTGATACTTCCTATCTAAAATAGAAATTATTGAATAGTAAAAAAACTATTGTAAAGCTGTGATACCAACATTTCAAGTTAAAATCTGTACAATGTTACCCGAACAAAAAAAAATATCCGTATTATAACATTTGAATGTATAGATCGATTGATTCCAATATCATCAAATGAAATTTAATTGGAGATTAATTTTCTATATATGTATTATAATTTATTACAAGCTTTTATTAAGTTTACCTGTACGAGTGTATCAATTCTTGCAAATTAAAATTAATTTAACTTTCCAGTTACCGATTGAGTTGAAATATTTTATTTCATCTTTACAAATTAGTTTAATCAATTAAATGTCATAAAGGTCGAGTTCCACTGATGTGTCGCAGCTTTACAATCGTAAGTCATTTAAGACGAAGTTAATCTGTGATTGTATGGAATAGTTAGATTTGTTAGGCTGCGTGTATGCTTTTGCTCTACCCTGTAGCGGCAGAACATAACATTTTGTGTATATTAACCGGGTTTTTTCCGCAACGGCTTTAAAAAGTCCCTTTGAAAGGTTAAAGTAACGCCATCTCTTATCTCATTCACGAAATAAATTCTGTACAATAAGTTTGTTACAACCATTTTAATTTAAACGTTTTGTTACCATTTTACAGTATTTTTGTACATCAGATTTATTTTTTATTTATATTATTACTAGTATTCTAAATATGCAGTATTAATTGCAATAAATTTGGTCTATTAACAGATATATATATTGATTTGAGTTTAAAGTAATCATTCGAAACGTTTTGATTTACATTCGTTTATATAATATATTTATGTTATGTATCATATTGGTCAATATTTTTTATCTATAACAGAAAAATGTATTAATTTTAATTCTTATTCATCACAACTTATATACCACATTATATATTTATATTTAGAAACTAACAGAGATAAATCGTAGGAGATTACAGCGTCGTGTGCCATTTAAAAAATATTTACATGGTTATAATAATAAGGGGATTGTCGGAGGGGAAATGGATAGTAGCATCGGTTTGCGCGGCTGTACGGACATTATCGCCAATTGGCCAAGAAATTGTCACAATACTTGTGATATGTTTAAATTTGTACAAACCTGAGACATATCTTTTTACTCGAAGTAAATCCCCAAGTGACATCTCATAGCAGCTTCCTCAACTGTTTTATGTAGAATCGAATTACTTCGAGTTTTTTTCGCCGAGCGAAATATTGGACAATATGTGTGTTTTAGATAGCAATGATCATATCATTAATAATATTTTAATTACTGCTTCGTCTATACGTCATTTTGCTTCATTACAGTTTCGACAATTTATTTAATTGAATAGAATTTAAATCTATGCTTGTAACGTACGTGTAAAACCCACTATTTTCGTCTTAAGATTAGATTGTAAAATACAGCGTAATATGTTCTATGTAACTTTCATGTAAGTAATATCTATATTTATGAATTAAATATTAAGTATTTTGAAACGTTAAGGCACACGCCATGGGTGTTGTATGTGTAAATGTACATTTTGAGTTGAATTAGAGTAAAGGTAGCGAGGATTTAGTTGTCGGAGGGGACGGAGAGCGACTGTCGCTTCGCTCAGAGTGCGTAAGGTGGCCACGCGATGGCCACCCGTCGCCGGCAATGAGCTCCTCGCGGCCACCATCGCCACATCATCACGACGAGTTGACGACACGATAGGGCGGGAGAATCAAACGCGTCACACACATTCCAAAATATAATAAATGAAAACCGCGCTAAGTACGCTAAGTGACGCGCGTCGACGAACGCGTTGCTATTTTGTAAGTTAGCCACTTTGTTGTTCATTAACGATAAGTTAGGTTTAATCTCAATGGATGTTGTTTACTTTAGTCTGTGTATAGTATTGTATCGTAAGTTTGAGGAGGTGAATTTGAGCGAATCGACAGGCGTCCGCCTGAGGGTTCTTCATAGAATGTAAATGTTAAGTACCTAAGCGATTACTTTGCACCTAACTTCATTTCGAGAGCCGTTAGTTTTATTAATTGTACATATAGCTAGGGCGAGGTACACAGTTTCAATCAATATTATATGGTTATTGTTGATTCTGATAATATGGGGGCTGGCAAAATACCAATGCAATATCGCATTTGATGTTATAAATTTATTAAATCTATCTGATACCATAGACATATATGGCTATTTATGTGTTAATATTGTGTATCGACGCGGCGTGGAGCCCGCGGCGATGACGCGGCGCCGAGGAGCGCGCCCGCCGCCAGGGAACGAAGCCCTCGCAAATCTATAATATATTATATGTATGTAATACCCTAAGTACACCCGTTAAGTTCAGCCATTCAAGGCTCTTATTTTTGTAAGGTTGCTACCATTTTAACTGTATTAATATCGAAAAATAGATTTATTTCTCGAAGACACGCAACTTTTATACATTTTATTTGTTGCTGTAATATTTTTATTTTGAATAAAAGATACTACATTTGTTACCATTTGTTTAATTGTTATACCGATGAAAAAGCGTTGCATTGTCTCCTGTTACAGTCCAGTTAGGAATGGAGCAACCGGCGCTGGCGTACCTTCCCGCGAGGCCTCGTGCCCTCCGCGACTTACATTACCTCACGCCGCAACTTTTGTACATTTAAATTAATAGATAAATATAATTGTTGTCGCTAAATCATTTAACTTTATTTTATGATCTACGTGGTGACTTCATCAATGAAATCGTAGATGATGAACTAAATGTATTTCATCACAATATAGATATTTACACGTGCGTATGCGCTGCGACGGCACAATGCGTCGATCGCGCACCCTCGATGTATTTATTTTCATGGTTTTTAATTATCATTGTGAGACGCACGAACGTGCCCCTTATTGTAGAAATAAATCATATTTTCGTTTAAATTATTGCGTCTTTCTTTTACCTCCAAATCGGATAAAATTGATATCCTATCGAAATAAACCTAAAAGCAGTAATAAATTATTTTTAAGTCTATAAAACAGTTGAACTAAAACATACAACTTGTAAAGTACTACAAAGAAAAGTTACAATACTCATAAATTGCCTACCCATTTAAATATATATTATAGTTTGCCTAATTAAAAAAATACGTTGTATTTTTTGGTATCAAATTAATTCAAGTTATGGGAGATAAAAAACTTACAAATTGCAATGAATTCAATAAACACGATTTATAATTGCTACTACTAGCGCCATCTTTTATCAGTGAAAATATACTTGCACTCAGTAATATGAAAAAGCCTTTATACCGCCAAAATACAAAATTAACCTTATTTATCCTGCCAATATTGATTTGTTATTATATTATAGGTACTTTAAACTATTTAAGACACTGTCTATTGGATACGGTGTAAGGTTTAAGTTTAGTGTCAACAATGTTACAATTACACATTATCAAAAAAAGAAGTTTTAATGAAAACAGATTTTTTATTCCCTGATACAAATAAAATCAACACCGATTTATTATTATAAAACATTCAAACTTAAAAACTTCACGGTTGCATTCTCAGTGAACCATCCAATCGTATTGTTTCACCGTTGATCATTGGATTTTGTATAATACTCTGTACTAATAAGGCATATTCATTAGGATTTCCAAGACGAGATGGGAAAGGTACTGAGGCTTCTAATTGCTTAATAGCGGGCTCCGGTAGCTGTTCCATCATTGGTGTACGGAATAAACCTGTGAATATTCAAACATTATTAGATTTTTAATTTAGACATTTAAATTTCATTAACGGATTTAAATAAAATAACATTGTAACTTGATACAGAGATTGAGACAGTTAAAATTTGATTTTCAGCAAATAAAGCAAATTATCAATTGATATGGCAGCATAAATTAGTTCATTTTGTTAAGCTTAACATTGTACTAACCTGGTGCAATAGTGACAACTCTAATACCCTGCTTAGCGAGGTCTCTAGCTATTGGTAATGTCATTCCGACTACACCTGCCTTCGATGCTGCATAAGCTGCCTGACCAATCTGAAATAAAGCAATAAAATTCTTTTATATGAACAAAATCCAATTACCGAATAATCGTAAATATTTTTTATTGAATTAAATAAACTAATAACAAAATAGAACATAATATATCTAAAATTTCTAGATTAATCCAAAATTAATACTATTCTTATATTAGATTAAATAATCTTAACCAACAGTTAGGTTGGTTTCTGAAAACAAAACTTCTGTATAAAATGTAATCTCATATATGTCATTATCTTTGACAAAACAGAGATAACGATACATTTTGAATGGAGATTATAGTCTTAGAAATCTACAGTGAATCAATTAACAAAAGCCAGACTGTTACAACAGTTAAATCTCTGCTACAACACCTTAATAGGCTGTCTGTGAATTTTCACAGCGGAAACACTTTACTGAGAATGATGACTAAGTGACATTTTTGTACAAGGGTTTTAAATGATAAAATGTGGTATTAGAAACTAGAGTGCATTACCTGTCCATCAAATGCTGCGATACTAGCTGTGTTTATTATAACTCCTTTTTGTCCGTTTGCATCTGCTGAATTCTTACCAATCATACCCGCTGCCAAACGGATTACATTAAAAGTCCCAATTAAATTAACCTGAAAAAAGTAAAAAATATTATATTTTACCAGGTCAAAAATATAAAAAACAAGCAATTACATTATATTGATAATGATAATAAAAATGATTGCAAATCAATAAGTTTTGGTATTTACTCGAGTTGCATATTAACATACCTCAATAGTTTGCTGGAAAAGTTTAAGATCAAAAGGTTGATCCTTTTTAAAATTATAAACTCTAGCTGCAGTAGCAATTCCAGCACAGTTGACAGCCACATCGAGGCGACCAAATTTATCCATTGTTGTTTGCAAAGCATTTTGAACGTCTTCTTTTGATGTAACCTTAAAATTATGATATTGACATACATTAATAAAAAAAAATTAAATATTTGTGTTATAACACAAAAATTTAAATTACATTGTTTTGAACTTTAGATTAAAATAAGTAATTAAATGACTAATTAATTAAACTACCAAAATAAAACTACAAACATTGTTTTTAATAGATACAAAAAAAAATTGTACGTAAAAAGTACTTTCATTACTGTTGCAAAGTTTGTATCCATATTCTTTATGACCAGTGCCAGGTTTACATTTTAAGGTTATTATTTTATTTAAATAATCTCTAGTTTTAAAAGTAAGAGTATGTATCAAAGCCACAAAAACATCTGAATTTATCTGTTTGTTAGTAACATAAAAATTAATAAATGAAAACAATTGTATAAATACATTAACTGGTGCAAATGCTGCATTTTCTCCAAGTTCTTTTGCTGTCCCCTGTCCAGTGCTAGAAGGCAGATCGCATATTACAACACGTCCACCTTGCTTCACTATCATTTCTGCTGTGGCACGGCCTAAGCCAGATGCTCCACCCGTTACTAATCCGACAAGACCCTGGAAATTTATTTAGGTCAAGATTATACATGACACGAACACTAATAGATACTTTAACAAATATTGGTATTATAAAGGTACAACTAGCAGTCCTACACAGATACTCAAAGGAGGATACTATATTCCTGTGGAGATTGAGAAGGAAAATAGCATTCAGTAGTTGTCTCTTTGTAAACACAACTGGAGAGTGCATGCACTACAAGGGCTGCTACACTGCTGGGGTTCTATGGTAAAGGATACCTACTACTACTACTTCTTATAGAAAACTTTAAACATGTTAATAGGGTCCAAAGTTCAAAACCATTATCTTTAATATTTCATAGAGTTGTACTTTAACCTTAATACACTCTGAGTCACATTGTATATTATCTTATTAAAATCACACAAGAATATGTTTGTTAATAATTTTTATGCATGAATTTAAATTTGAAGAATGATAGATGATTTTTATCGTAAGTGTCTAATAAAATAAGCGATTAGTAAATTACATAGCACTTCTCAAAACTTTTTGTTAACCTATAAAAGATGTGAAGGCAAAGTTTATTAAGCAAACGACGAAGTTCAAAAGTTATAATCATTAATTTAATTAATTGTATGTATAGGAAATAATTAAAAGCCATATAAAATTATTTCTTACCTTAAGCATTGTTGTAGAAGTAAGTATTTAACGATTTGTGGACAAACTCACTCAATACTAAATCGAAAACTTGGTTGTGTTCACGTTTTATCACATAAGAAATATTTAATTATCTACGTAGATATGTACATTCATTTATCAAATATATTCTATGTATAATTTACATATTATCGCAGTTTTTCTTTACTTTATTGATAAGAAAAACGTTGTTTATTTTGATAATAAAAAACGATTTCGAATCGATTATAAGTTCGTTTCGATTTAAACGACTTAGCCTAAATATAGATAAAAAAAATTACGTATTATAATTTTATTTATTCTTAGTTTGTGTGATAAGGCAACGTAAAGCCAAAACAACAATATACATAGGGTACCACAATCTTTACTGATACCAAAACTATATAAACGGCATTGCAAAACTTTATATTCACGTCAGTACATATTTATTTTTTTGAACTTAAAACAGCACAACCAAAGAGTATATAAAATATAAGCACAACTATATATTTACGAAAAACGTGGTTATTTAATAGCAACTGAAATTGATTAACAAGGGCTTTAAGCCTGAATCGATTCATTCACTTAAATCGATGTATTTAAGTAGCTCACCTCACTATAACGCTAAAATTGATAGATGTCAAATGCCTTTCATAAATTAGTCCAATTATAATTTTTTAACTCGGCTATAAATATCTTTCAGCATATTACACATCAAATTATCAAATTCCAGTAGGCTTTCAGCACTGTGGCGAGGAATTGTATTTTTTGGCAAACTTAACTAATGGCAATAGACAATTGATTTCTTAACTATGGTACATGGTACTTATATAATCTGGCTCGTGTCGTTAAGGTTGAAATTTGAACTTTATCTTTACCTTGTGTCTTGTATTGTTGACAGTGAAATACATATTTAATTTTCCACTGCATATTTAAAACTAGTTTAATTAATAAGTTAATATGTCTAAATTAAGCGCTTTAACATTCACACGAAACACTGGTGCCAAACACACTGCCACTGTTGTATTTTTCCATGGATCAGGTTTGTTTGTATGTTATAACCTCAAATTTTTCGACTCAGTTATTTAATAACTCGTTTTTAGTTCTGGTAATGAAAGGAATGATGTTAATTTCGCTCTATGAATGACATTTCGAGGTGGAAAGCTTTTTGAAAAATGTATATTTTCTTTTTTAGGGGCAAATGGAGAACACATGCAAGAATGGGTCAATTTAATGACGAAAAACTTCAAATTTCCACATATTAAAGTGATTTATCCAACAGCACCGTTACAGCCGTATACACCAGCTGGTGGTCAACCTAGTAATGTATGGTTTGATAGAGCTGATATCAACCAAAGTGTTGCAGAGAACTTGGATTCAGTAGAAAGAATAGGTGTGCAAGTAAAAGAATTAATTAAAAGTGAAGTTGATGGTGGGATTCCTATCAACAGAATTATTGTAGGTAAGATGCCTTACTACTGAAAGTAATTAACTATATTTTATAGGTATTTCCTTGTACTTTTATATTTAGTATAAGAAGTAATGGCCAACAGTTCGTAGGGTTATAGCAAATTGATTATGATAAGGAGTGGTGGCTTATGAATGTAACATGCTAGTCAGTACTTCCGAGCTGTTGGTGTATCAAAAGATGAACAAAAGAAGGGGGAAAATGTTGGAAGATCTATTGAAACATATATTTCTCTATGTTCCAGGTGGATTCTCAATGGGTGGAGCACTTTCATTCTACACAGGCTACAGATGGGAGCGCAACTTGGCTGGTGTGTTTGCATTCAGCTCTTTCCTCAACAACCAATCTGTTGTATATCAAGATCTCAGTAAAAGCTCGGGCACAAAATGTAAGTTCAAAAATGTATTACAAGCACAATTGACACTAAATTAACATGTACTTATTGCTGAATACTATTAATACCTAAAAGAGTTATTTAAGAGTATCCCTTAAACAACTGGGTTATTTACAGTGGGTTTCTGAGACCAAAATCCCCATTTAACACCTATTGTTGTCCCTGTTTTGTCAAAGATAATGACAGGAAGGATGATATGTTTGTTATGGAGATTTAGAGGAATGTATAAACATATGTATTAATTTATTCCAGTTCCACCACTACTTCAGATTCATGGTGACAGTGATGACTTGGTGGATCTGACATGGGGAAGAAATACATACAATGAGTTGAAGAAATATGGTGTCAATGGGGAGTTTCACGTGATGTCCAAATTAGGACATTCTATAAACAAGAAGGGAATGAATATAATTAGTGATTGGATTGTTAATATACTACCTGATGTATGACTAAGTATTAAATCATACTTTAGGAAGTATAAATAGGATAGCTAAGCCCAAAGAGAAGTAATCTCTATAGTTTAGTTGAATAACCAGTGCAAAAGTAAAGTTTGTGATGATTTTCCAACAGTTGGTGTGTGGCTGGAAATGATTATATTATCAAGAGTTTTTGTGTATAGTTGATGTGTTGCATCATAATTGTGATATAAAATTTACATATCACAACAGAATTAGAACAGTTTAAGGGGAAGTTAGATGTAAGGCTAAAAATGATACCAGATTACCGATCTATATGTTATCATAATATGCATTAAACCTTAATTCCACGAAATTTTTTGTAGCAAAAAAACTGTTTTTTTTAATAAGTCATACTTGCGTTCATAGTTCAGTAGATTTTTTTAATTAGTTGTTTTGTTTTTAACTAGTTCAGTAGATTTTTTTAATTAGTTGTTTGTCACACTGGACACCATCGAATTAAGGCTTAATAAAATACTTTACAGTTCCTAAATAACATAGTTTTTACATGAATTCATAATGCACAAACTCTTACCGTTTATACTAACTACACAGATTAGTTACATTGTTAAATATATTTATATTCTTAGTTCTATTCTTAATACCTATGGCTGTTAATATTATTGTTGAAATAAAACTATTTATACATTTTAAGTTTTCTTCTTTATATTTCTTGCCTTTTATATTTTTATTATAATTATATATGATGATAATGATTATAAATTACAAGCTGTCGCTAGTCTGCCTGCGCTGAATTAAAAAAAAAATTATTTAGGCTATCTATGTGTACTTCCAGACTATGTTCTACATGTATGCCAGATTTCAGTGAGATTCGTTGAACCGTTTTATAGATATCTTCTATCACACATTTGTCCTTGATATACATCTAAACATTCGCATTTGTAATAATATTAGTAAGATAATCGATTGATTAAAATCGATACAAACGACAGTTACATAATGTCACTGGCAGCCATAAATAATAAATTCCATTAAAACATCAACTTGACATTTTTTTGACAAAAGAAAAAGTTTTTTTTGTAATTCTATAAAGTGACCGGAAGACGTTGTGTTATATAAAGTCGAAATGCCTCCTAAAAAAGAGAAAGAGCGCGGCGATGACGATAATTACTGGCGAATACTTATTGAGCAAACACCTTTAAATGAGCCTACATGGAATGTTAAAGTAGTTATATTTGAAACAGCTGGAAGCGAACAGGAAATCATGTATTTAAACAAATTCGAAACCTTCGCTAAAGAAGAAAAAAGGTTTGTAATCAAAAATATTTGTAAATCTGAAACCATGTTCATGGTTAACCAACTTGGTGCTGAAAAGAAGGTAAAAGATGAAAGCTTACGAGTTTTTGAGGAAGGTCACATGTACCTCAAAGAAAAGAAAGATATTCCCCCAGACATACTCGCACTTATAATTAAACATCTTGTTTTAAAAATGAAACAAGAATATCTTTCCATACAAAAGCAAATATTTGTTGTAAGAGAAGGTATGAGAAATGAATCGTTGACAATGATAGATCGCTCTGAAATAAGAAATAATATGCCACTTCAAAGTGTCCAACCGAGTGAACCTGTCGAGCCACCACACCCCAAAGGTAAAGGCAAAAAAGATGAAACAGATGTTGCAAGTACTATAGTACCGGAAGAAGGCAAAAAATATAACACATTACTTCGAGTGAGAGGAGAAGAATGGAGGGACAAAGTTTACGTCGATGACTTTCCACTTGATGGGCCTAATTTATATCTGGCAATTACGGGATTTTTGGAACCTTATCTCTTGGAGAGCCTCATGAAAATCGGCGTTCCTCTAACAGCAGTTGTTCAAATAAGGATCGATCCAGCAACAAATAAAATATCATCAGGTTATTTTACAGGAACTAAAAGAGGACATAGTGCAATTGAATTAGCTGCAGAAAAATCATATGAATTTTGGAAAACGCTACAAGAATTGCGATTAGATAATACGTCTGCTCCAAATTTTAAAGATATGGCTTTTATAGTTTTTACTCCGCCGTACGGTAGTAGTGACACGTTATCGAGTAGCGCTGACCGTGTGTACGATGAGCTCAGTTTCCTCATGTACGACATACAAGATTTAACGAGGCAACACGCACATTATTTAGACAATATGGACGTCAAGTGCATACCCACTGAAAGTAAGAATATGCACATGTTGAAATCGTACTGTGATCAATTAAACGAAATCCCTCTGGAATGTACCACAATTTTTTCTATAATAGATAGTATGCTACAAACTATTTGTTACTGCGCTCCCTGTGACAGCAAAAGCGGCACTACATCTCTGTCGACAGACTTTACAATAATGCAAAATAGTTTTAGTACTAAAAGTCCCACTAATTTTGATAAAGCCGATAATCTTGTAAATAAAGTTTTTGACACTTTATCTAAAGGTGATTTAAATAAGAAAAATTATCGAATAACATGTGGTGAAGAATATGACAAATATAAAGATCCAGTCATTATAAACTATGGAGATTGTGCACAATGCACTACTTTTCATTTAGAAAATATTAATTTGGACAATATTATTTGGTCTTCGTTAGTTAACATGCCCATTTGCAACTTGTGGCAAAATCAGGCAATACCTTCAGAAGAGATACAAGCGAAGGTCAACTTCCATCTCAGCGCACTACACACGTGTTTCGACAAAAAAGAACTTGACGATTCCTTATTCAGTAGACTTGTTCACATGTTATCTTTTCGTAAACTTTATAATAATAGAAGTTCTTTGAAAAAGGGTACCGTTCCTCCAACCAGCATTTCTGAATTTAAGAAAATATATTTAAAACGTAGCACTTTCGCGGAACCCTTTCCCAAAACCACGTCGTTATTCTGGACGAGCAGTGCTACTTCTCCTCCGAGCCCGACTATTGTAAAAAGTTACAGCTATACCAAAGAATTTAACTCCGGAAGCAGCTCTGAGGAGCAACGAGTTGAACTTCTGTTCGATTGTCCTGATTTAAGCGAACTAGTATCTGCTCTTGAAATAACAAATGATAAGCCTGTAAATCATTTAATTGACGAATATGATTTTTTCGAAGATTTTTCTGGAATAAATTCCTTGCAAGTATTACTAAAGGCATTTACCAAATTTAATTGCTTAAACTATAAATATTGTGAAGTAACTGATGATTTTGTTATGATGTTTTACAATAATCATGATAGCGATGGAATTTCACGCGAGGAATGGCGTTGTCATTTACCAACCCCCGTGTGTTTGCAAGACTTTTTCGATTTCGTACTTGAGGAAGAATATCAATGGATTCAAGACGAAGAGAAACTGTACGATGAATGCACTCTGTTAAAAACTAAATTAGAATGGAAAGAGTCGCTAGATAAAGTGCCAACTAAAAGTTGTGTTGAAAATATTGATGATATAGATTCTGAGCTTTTAATTACAGGATCTCTGAAATATCAAGAAAGAATACAAAACGATAGCCTCGAAGAAGAGGATGTAGACCAAAATGCTAGCTTATTACCTAAAATGACAGTTTCATCGACTTCCAGCCCAGATTCCAAAAGTAGCCGCAAGCCAAAATCTACACCAGAAAACAAAAAGAAAGGTGTCGATGTGATATCGGACGCAGATAATGTTTCAGAATATAATACGTACCTAAAAAGATTTTCCGGTTATAACTTAGGAGAAAGAAGAGTTGAAGTATTCGGAAAAGATTCGATTTTTTTTTCTAAAGATGGTACAAAAATATGCAGTTTTTACACTATTATTATACCAATGAATTTGGAGTATTTAGTTTTAAATGTTGTTCCGGGTAACGAAAATAATGAATTTTGGATGCAAAAAAAACTAGGAGATGCTGTTCCTGCTAATATTGACAATGTTGGTGAATCTTTTAGAATTATAAGTAAAGATCAAGTAACATACTACTTAAAGAAAAATTGGTACCAACCACCGATACCTACGGTAACTTCACTTAGTAGTCAAAGTAAAGTAAAACATAATGATAACTCAAGTAAGACTAAAGTTAAAACAACAAGTTCAGTTAACACTCTAATGTGTGATTCAAAATTGTATCACACTTTCGTAATAACGTGGCCAAACGGTCTTATTATAGAGAGTGTAAATGATGATAATTCGCCCAAAGTTAATCATATTAAACAATTTTATGTAAGTCATGTAACAAATATTAATGAAGACATGCGTTGCATGACTCTAAATGGCGAAGTGGTTATCTTTAAAAAATCTGGTATCATAGAAATATATAGACCGGACGCCACTTATATTAAAATCATCAAATGTTCAAAACGAATTGTACATCAAGAAATTATAGAGGAAATTCGCAGCGCCAGTAGCTCTGAGAAAAATAAGAAACTCAAAGGTAAATCCGGATCCGCAAAAGACAAGCTGGGTAAATCCACGTCAAAGTCTTCGAAAAGTGCTATTGAACAGAATGAAACTTCGGTCGGTACGCCACATTACGAGTTATTTATTGATGAATTCGAAATAACAGATTCAAATGGTTTGAAGGAAAAATGGGTAAACAATCAACTCGTAAGCGCTGAAAAGCTACTAGTAAGGACAGCCACGGACTATAATTTAGGTGAAGTGTTTTCTCGGCGAATGGATGGCACATATACGTTACTCAATAAAGACGGAATGTTCGTTGCAACATTTTATGACAACACCAGAATAATTACGACTTACTCAATTGATGATGAAGATATTTATCCAGAAGTCGATTCTACTGATTTATTGAATTCGCGTGTTATATTTGAAAATGATAAGACATCAAAAGATGTTGGTGAATCTGCAAAAAGTAAAGATAGTTTAGCATCACGTGATAGTTCGATAAGTGACACCTTAAACGAAGATGTGAGAGAAGAAGAAAAAGAAGTGAGAACGGACGGTTTTGTCTCAATTCACGTGACTCATACAATAGAGAACGCTAATTTTGCTACCGTCACCGTTAACAAAGCTAATGGCGATATTTCTGTTGACTCGTCAAATAAAACTTCTTTAGTATTAGATACAAATGGGAATTACGAATTTTTGCTTGATAAATCAACTAATGCTAATTTTGATGGTGATAGTTTAAATATTAATTTTGAAGCTTGCAATCAGTGTGAATCTACTACCACGTGTACGGTCAACATAAACAATATGAAAAGCGCAAGCGATATTGATCAAACATGGTTAACTATGAAGGATTCCTTTGGTAAAAACATTGTTGTTGACGTGGAGGGTGCAATTAATATAGTAACTGATCCGATAAAAGACGAAGTTGAGCAAAACAAAGATGAAAAAGTATCTTATAAACCTACCGCGTCTTGCCTTACGTTGTTGGGAAAGTGTAGAGAAATGTATGATGCTAAGGCGTTAAGATTTTTTGTGTTCAGGAGGTTAGTACAAAACTTTATGATATTTAAATACACGCATACGTTAAAAATATCTTGTAGTACTTGTAGGAACTAAAGTATCAAGTGTATATTTTAATTGTAGAGACTTGAGTTGTTCTGAGCTAGTTCACCGTTCACTTATGGAACAGTACAAGAATCATTGCCGTTGGCAGCCTTGGTGTTCAATCAATGAGTATGATACTTTTGGTGATCACCGCAGAATTCTATCAATACTTACGCCATTACAACTTACTGAAACCGAAGTAAGAATATTTTACTATTTCTAAACTTGTATGAGGTCTTCATATTCATGTAACATTTATTGTAATTATAGAAATGGTTAATGCGGTCGAAATACTGTGATAAGCCAAAGCATCTAAAGTTTAAAGACTTAAAAGAAGATACGGGCAAAGGTTTTTATCATTGGATGCGTCCGTATGGAAGATTTCAACCTGAACCGAAGAGTATTGAAGAGTTCAAATTACCAAGACTACCCAGAGCATATGTTTTAAGGTAAAAGTACTCCCACCTTCAGTG